GCCCTCCGGAGGGGCAGGCTGCCGTTGTCCCACCAGCCGTCCTCGCCTTGCGTGCTGTGGTAGGGCAGCTTCTGACCCGTGCTGGTGTTGAACCACATGTTGGGAACCACCCCGTGGTTCTCCAGGTACCTCCCTGTCAGGAGAGACGGAGGAGGCGGGGGTGAGCCGGGCGGTGGTGGGGGGGTCTCACCACTGCGCTGGGCGCTGGGCTGGCTAGGCTGCCGTTGTCCCACCAGCCGTCCTCGCCTTGCGTGCTGTGGTAGGGCAGCTTCTGACCCGTGCTGGTGTTGAACCACATGTTGGGAACCACCCCGTGGTTCTCCAGGTACCTCCCTGTCAGGAGAGACGGAGGAGGCGGGGGTGAGCCGGGCGGTGGTGGGGGGGTCTCACCACTGCGCTGGGCGCTGGGCTGGCTCCAGGTCAGCAGGTGGCTTCTGCCCCTCGTACCCCATCCTGGCTCTCCCTTTGCCTCTGCTTTGCCTTCTGCCTCCCCCTGCCTCGGACACGTGGGGTTCCCTGGGCAGGGAATGGGATGCTGGGGGACGCCTGCTCCTCTTGTGGGTGGAGGGATCCCAGGAGGGTCCCACCCAGACCCTGAGCAGGGCACCCTCACCCCTGGGGATGCCGGTGCCACCTGCGATTCCTCCTGCCCTCCTCGGCACAGATGGGGTTGGCCGTTGTCCTGCGTTTAACTGATGGCTTTGGTGTTTTCACTTTCTCCCTTGTTCACAGCCGGCGAGGTCAGCATGCAGCAGAAATTCCCGTTAGAAACGAGAGACCTGCACTTTGTGCTATTACATTTCATGCTATTTTTATTATTCTGAAGACTGCACAGGTACTTCTGCACAGTATCGCTGTCCTCCCCTGTATTGACAATGCCTCCCTGCCTGTTCTCATCAGCAGAATTCATTAGCATGTTCCACTCTTTTATGCCAAGGTTATTAATGAAAATCTTAAATAAGATTGGCTCCAGAATCGATTCTTCAGGAATTCCCCTGCTGCCCTCCCTCCAGCTCAACAATCTCCTCTCCCCATCACCTGCCGTCCTCCTCCTCGTAGCCCGTTACTTCCCCACGTTACAGATTTTGTGCTAATCTTTATCTTCTCCATCTTAACTAATGATTTCCCGTGTGGCACTGTATCAAATATGTTACTGAAGTCCAGAAAGATTAAATTTAGTGCACCTCCCTTGTCTAAAAAATAATTTATCTTGTCAAAGGAGGCTACGGGGTCGGTCTGGTGCTATTTGCCTTTGATAAATACAGGTTCAGTTCTGTCCCTTTCTGCAACTATCGCCTTGTCCCTCGCTGTATTTCCCAAGTACAGCTGCCCTGGAGCTTCCCACACTGCCGAGGCTGGACGGCTGCTTGACCAGTGCCCTCCACTGGTGCGTAAGCCTTAAATGTGCCCGTCCCCAGCCTGTGCCCTGTGCGGCTCCGCCTGGCTCGGGGCTGGCGCAGACTCACCGGTCAGCAGCGTGAAGTGGCACGGGCTGGGGATGGTGATGAAGATGGGAGTCATGTACCACGCCTTCACCCCCTCCGCAGCCATAGCATCGAGGTTGGGGGTGTCCACCTCCTGGTCCACCGAAAGCCATCGAAGGACACCAGGAGGAGTTTGCCACGGTGGGATGATGGAGAATCAAATTGCAAATTTTCAGGAGTGCTGCTTGAATTTCAGCTGTGTGACCCTGGAGATCCGTTCCCAGCATGGCCTCAGCTGCTCCTGGTGATGGTGCTGATGAGCTGGGCGATGCCTGGGCAGGGCTCCACAGGTGGGACTGGTTGGAGGGAGGGAGGGGGATTGGGAGGTGCTTTATAAAAGCCCACATGGCCCTAAGAGCTGTTTTGGTGCTGCTCTGCCTGAGTGTGGAGGGAGGAAGCGCTGGGAAGTGGAAGGACAGCGGAGACCTGGATCTGGGCCACCTCAGAAGAGGTAGGATGTGTTGGGTCTGTGGGTGGGTGGGCGGCTGCTTCCCCTGGAGAAAGGCTGAGCTGCAGCCTTCTCTGCTCCCCAGGGATAGCCCCTCCCAGGGTGTTTGAGGGCAGGATTGTTGCAGGCTGGAAATGGTGCACTTGGACATGACATAGAGGATGGGTTGGTGGAAAGCAGGGAGGTGTTTGTCTCTTGCTCGCCCCTGGAGTAGCTCTGCTCTGTAGGGCAGCTGCACTGTCCCAATGGTTGGGGCATTGCACACGCAGCCTGTAAGAAAAGAGGGGGAGGAAGGGAAGGGGGGCACAATGGTGGCTGGGAGAGGGAGGAGAGAATTGAGCGACGTGGCTGGAGATGCCTCGGTTTGTTCTTTGCACTACGCCTGGCTCCTTCATCTGTTGGGTGCAGCTCAGATGGGGGGCGCGTGCCTGCGGGGCTCCTCTCGGCTCCCAGCCTGAGCACCAAGGGCCTGGATAAGCTTGTTAGTGTCCCTGAGATGTCTTGTGCCAGGACCTCATGGTCAAAGCCGTAATGCTGCCCTGGAGAGCAAAACCAGGAGGAGCTCCACAGCTGAGGGGGTTTGGAGTGACTGTGGGGAGGTACGTGGGGCTGTAGAGTGTTGGATGGAGCTGTGGAGTCTGCAAGCTGCTGGGGACTGGATGCCCCTGGGATGGTTTGGTGGAGTTGGTGGGTGTGGGGCAGATCCTATTCTGCTCCTTGTGGGGTGTAATGGAGAGGCTGAGGGTGGCTCTTGGAGAGGAGGCTGCTCTCAGGTGGAGCTGACACCTGGGTTTGCTCACACCTGCTGCTGGCCGGGGAGATTCTGTGCTGATGTGGGTGTGCAAGCTGCTTTGTCCCTGGTGTGGGCAAGGAACTGGGATGCGGGTGAAGAAAGCGCCGATGGCTTCAAAGTCAGGGCAGAGCAGCAGTGGCAGCATGCTGTGCGAAATCCAAAGCCAGGAGCAGCCCTGGCCTTGGCCTGAGTGCTGAGGCAGATGGAGGGAGGAAGGTGCTCCAGCCAAGCAGCTTGTAAAGGCTGGAAAAGAGGGAAGGAGGTTGGAAAAGAGGCTTTGGTTGCTGTGGGGGAGCTCCTCCGGCAGGGCCTGGATGCCTGTACCAGGAGTTTGGGTCTGACCCCCTGGAGCGGCTCCTGAGAGCCCCGGGGCTGTGGTCTGAGGTGTCACTGCCAGGCTGACCACGGAGTGGGACGTGGTGGGCGCCACGGGGACCCCCTGCATCGCACCATTGGGCACCCTCCTGGAGCGTCCCCCTGGCCTGGGGGGGCCGTTTGCCCCCTGCCCTGTGCAGGAGCTGCTGCGCTCGCTGCTGGGGGAGGGGGGCAGCGG